AAGTTTTATGAAGTGCTGCCGATTACGCGTGTCGAATCGCCCGGCCATTATTTCCAGGATGTTTTCGCGATAATAAAGCCGTGCTGTACGGCGGGCTCGTTCGCACCCCCAGGATAACGGAAGTAGTCTGAATGGAGAGAGGAAAAGAGAAAGTCGTGCGCACCCTTCGTGTTCTTCCGCTCTCTTCACGGTTAACACCCTCGGCTCGTACATACATATGAACGAGCCCGGGCAGGAAATACGCGACTACCGCGAATAAGCACTCGTAAAAATTGCAGCCAAGCTCTCAGTTTCGTCGCGCGCATCCTCTTTGCGTTAAGAGACAACGCGCATGTTGTTATGCTCCACGTTGTGTAACGTGATATCACGACAGGACGATTAAAAATCTCGCTTGCTTGCGCGTGCGCGCGCGCGCATACATTCGACAAACAGTATTAAAATCAAATTTTACACAACGTAACCATAATGTAAGTAGCGTGTTTGCTCTGTGCAAACGCATACGTCTGGATGCGCATTTGCGGAACAAATTTAGAAACTTTTTCCGGATTAAAAAAACAGACAAGTTTGAAAATTAAATGGAAAAAGCGGGGGAGAAAAATTTATTTTGTCAGAGATTATTATATTAATCATAAAGCTTTTCGCTTGTGTTCAGTTAACTCGTTTTCATCTCCAAAGCCGGATATATCGCAAAAGGGGTATATTTATCGCCACAACAGTTTGTTTGGCGAGCGTTTTTTTATGCCGTTTCCAAATGCAGTTTCCTGGAAATGGGAACCCCCGCTGATTTTCGCGACGGGAAGAGATTTCCCGGATGTCGGATGGACAGCCATCGCAAACGTGTCACGCGAGAGCAATATTATGACGTCTCTATCCAAGGCCCTTTTTCGAGAGATCGGCCACCCTCGAGCTCTTCACGCTTCATGCTAATTTCATCGATCCGATCCCGGCTTCTTCCTCTCGCGCCGCGTTTCAAGCCCTCGTCGCGTGTCCGCCTTTGTGCGGGCCGTGCACGGATAAAGGATAATATCCACGTTCCTTTTATGCTATTCGCGTATCGCAACGCGCGACGCTGTATCCGTGCAAAAATGTGTCGAGAATTCCCATTGTCGACGATGAGCCAATAAAACGCCACGAGTCCTCGCCCCACATGCCTTTCATTACTCGGCCGGTCTCTTTTTGGGCGAGATGCCGACGTTTAAATCAACATTGAATTAATTTCAGCTAATAAACAGCTGCCCGAGGAGTGCGTCTGTTTCCAGCAAAATTTTTATATTTTGACGAATCAAGACTTTAAAATCAAGGGTCTTTGTTAGCAGTCTCTCCGCTCGCATCTCTCAAAGTTCATTTCATAAAAGTCAGCTCCGAAAGCAAATAATCTGTCATTAAAGTTTAATGCGGAAGTGGGGCAGCTTATATGTGTCGAAGAACCTTCCACTTTGGAGATCGGTCCAAGAAGGAAGTGTCGCGGTATGGAAGTACTTTGTAGTTTCGCAAAGTGCCTGCTTGGCTCGCCATTGTCAAACGGCTTGGCTTTTTGTGGTATCGATTTCCACGACATAACGATCTCCACGAATAATGACGGGGGTGACACACGTCGTAAATACATCGCAATGGTTGAGAAGTACAGCCAGCACGATATTTGCGGTTTGACGTCAATCAAAAAACGGTCAAACAGCCCGGACACTCGATGTCACGCGAGGCGCCGATTGTCCCTTGACAGGCAGCCGTCGCTCGTTGGGTTTCTGGCTTTGTCGCCAAGTGCTTCTTTGTGCGCGACAACGACTTTTTTTCATTGTGGATCGGTTTTGACATCGGCCAACTTCACAAGCGCAGCTTGGAAATCATCGAGGAACCGGCTTGGCTAATCTGGAAGATTGCGTGGATTTTTCTGCGCTTCGATAAGCACACGATAGAAGTGCATTGGAAACCGAGAACCTCAACATCGAAATAAAAACTAAAAAAGTAAAAGTTAAAGTAAGAAAGTCAAGAAAGAAGATATTATATTTTATATAGGCATTCTTTACTTATCTTTTTTGAAATTTGATCGCTTATTATAAAAGAATTTTTATCGTTCTTTTTTTTTTGTTAACTTGAATATTTTTATTTTTGGATTAAAAAACATTGTTGCAAAAGTTCATACGACTTTTTATTATATTTATAAACTAATTATATATATGGAATATATTTTTCTAAAATCGAACATTATAGTCGAATGAAGTGTTTTCGATCTCGGTTCGTCATTTACCGATCATTTGTTCAATCTCCCTTTTCCGTCACGGAGGTTGCTAATTTGCTGACGGAAGGCATTTGAATCTTCGGAGGTACGTGAAGGCAGGATGTTTCGGACATCGGTGGATGTCGGAGACAAGACGAGGGGTGAGTGCCGGTGACGTCTCTTTCGCGTCAGCGGCGGAGAGACACGACGAGATCGTGCGGTTGTGGTGGTGATGGTGGTCGTCGTGGGCGCCGAGGGGGATGACGCTCCATTCCGGTGGTGGGTCCGAGATGTCAGCTCGTTTCAACGCCGTGGTACCTTGACACCGGGTCTAACAAACCCCGGGGAACGAATATCTCTTATGACCGATCCGGCATTCTGTCGCTGGTACCGCCGCCGTCCGGTTTATTTCTCGTATATCTCGTTCCGCTTTTTGATCCGGCACGTGCAATAAAACGTGATCGAGGTGCGATCGATAATCATGAAAAATTTTCGACAGAATCAACCACTTTAATTTCTGATAGTAGATTTTTTGATTGATTGAACTTTAGAACTATTTGTGGAAATTTTATTTAAAATATTACACACAATATTACAACGAAATTCTAACTTTATAAAAGTGATCAATTTGCATTACTTTTTTACTTTAATGTAAATATCAACTTATTAAATTTAGAAAAAATTTATCTAAGATTTACAAAGAGAAATATGGCATACTTAAAGAATGTTCTAAACAAAAAATGATCTTAAACCAACAGCATTAAGTGGAATTAAAAATAATCTTGTAGATTCAATGATTAATTAGATTTAGATAATGATTAATATTAATGAAATGAAAATGTATATATATTTCTTTCATTAATTAATTGAATTAATTATATTATTTTTAATTATACTTGATGCTGTTGACTCAACATTAATTTTTTTCCATGTATACAACGATTTGCTATATTTTATGTTGCAAATACAACTTTTTAGAAATTACATTTTTGCATACACCTCTCAATCAAACGAATCTTGCGTCGAAAAAATTTTCGTAAACACATTAATTCTCGATTTTTAATGATAATATTGAAACTGAAAAATTCGACATTTTTACTATGGCCTTAATATGGCGTCGCTTGCCGCGACATATGTGGCATGATACAAGAATGTATGGAAATAAATTGCGAAACTATTGGCAGCAGGACGATCTGCCGTTTTAGTTTTGTGAGAAATTCTTTTACGGCTCAGTCGGGATTTATACGAGCTGTAAGTGACAGAAGCGACGAACGCAGCCCACGGAAGAAGACAAATAAAAGATATGAAAATAAAAAGAGCGGTGCTGTCTTTAAGAGGTCGTAAATTCTTCGCGCCCGTAGATATTTTCATCGCGCTCACATTCGCGTATACATGCGCAAAATGGTTTAATCGATTGGTATAGTGTCGCAGACAATAGAAACTTTTAACTTTGTTTTCGTTTTTATGAGAGCGCAATTAAATAAGAAATTAAATAAACAAAAATCAAATATAACACGAGTACACGATAAAACAACTTTCTGTGAAAATAATTTCTATAAACCTTCTTCATGCAGGTGAAAAAAAGAAGAAAGAAAAGCAAGAAAGAATGGGAGAAAAATTTTTAAAAATTAATTATTTAATAAGAAAAATATGTACAAATATATTAAAAAAAAAAAAAATCAGAAGTCGAGGAGTAATGTATTTTTACACTGATTAACTTCTCAGAATGATAGTAATATCATCATCAAAATTTATTTTTCCTTTCCCATTGAAATCTCCATACTCGTTACGGTATCGCGAACGCGATACATTGTGATATTATCAGTATGTCAGGGCGGCCACTTAAGGGTTAACAGCGATCGCAAATTTCGGTACGCGAATACGTGCATAGCGAGCGTTAACGTAACTCGCGTCGCGAACGCGCGAGTGCGCACTTACGTCGGCAGAAGCCGAGTCCCCTTGGAGTGGCGCGGAGACGGATATAATTGAAGGCGGAGGTAATTAACTCCCTCGTGCAGTGCACCGCGCCACGTCGGCAACCGCTCACCGCATCGTTTTAATTACCGCTCTCGTCGCATTTCATTGGGCAGAAGCGCCTCCGTGCTTCTCTCTGTTCTTCCCGGAGGATCTCTCCGCACACTTCGTATTTATAATAAATCCGATACTATCGAAAGAGAGAGAGAAGAAAAGAGAGAGAGAGAGAGAGAGAGAGAGAGAGAGAGAGAGAGAGAGAGAGAGAGAGAGAGAGAGACGACGACGAC